TCTGGTCAAAAACTTGAGCTATATCCAGAAATGCACCCGGGCAATACTGATTGCTTTCGAGGGTTGCGGAAATATGATCGATCACTCGAAGTCCTTGTTGGACAGTGGAGTGCTGCGATCGAAATCCGAACTGATCTAAAGCAAGATTTGGAGATTCTATAAAGGGAGCAGAGAGATGTGCCAGTTGTTTCAGAGTTCTGTATGAGGCAAAAGCCCAGTACTCATGAGAGGCTATACTGACAGAGCTCAATGCAACCTTGACATGCAGGGTGAGAGAGTAAGAGTAGGTGAAGAAGTGACGTACCTCGGAATGAGCTTAAGGAGGAAGTCTGATGTCACCCCTCACTTAGAGCACTTGAGGGATGTCAGGATACAGGAGGACACAATGGAAGAATGGAACTGGCGGTGGGTGATAATCCCAAAAGGATCTACCTTGAGGAATTACTTTTCCACCGTCCGGTCACGTTTAGAAGCAAAGTGGATAGTTCCGGACTACTGGCCGACTACTAATTTCTCACAGGCCAGGCGGGTCTTTCGAGCAAAGTTTCATTGCCATGGGATGGACCCCCTATGCCCTAGCTGCGGTGTTCCGGAGACTGCTGAGCACATCATAGTCGACTGGATCGCCTTTGAAGAACTAAAGGCTAAGTTACTGAGAGAAACTGGTCTCTACATTCTCACAGAGAACGATATTTCTTAGTTAGTCACTGCGGAAAACTACCCGTACTACAAAGATTTTGTGTACTGGTGGAAAGCCGCGGTGGGGCCAGCCCATTTCAATCTAAGAAGAGGAGGAGAAGCTACTAGACCATTGGTATGAAAAGTATAAGAAATTCACTCAAGAAAACTAAAGAAACCAAGAAAGAGCAGAAGACCAAGATTTACTTGCAGCAGTGAGATGTTAAGCTGACCTGCCTAACATCTTACTATTGCAGAAACCCGTATTACCTACAAAGCACGGCAGGGTTTTAAATAAAAAAATAAAAAAATTGAGGGATATGGTGACTGTCAATAAATGAGCTAACCAGGATAGGGCTTGCGATTAGAGGCCTCAGATAATTTGCTACGATGGCCATTTATAAATGCATTTATAATTGCTATCTTGGGATACACATCTCCTGAGTGGAGCAGAAACCTCACGCAGCAGGAGAAGAGGAGACTGGTCTCCATCAACACAGTGTCACATGAGGCAATTCAGGTTTTAGCTGGAGTAATGGTCCTGGACCTCGTCCTCAGGGAGAATGCACTGAATTACTATATTAAGAAGCAGGAGCTAGAGACGCTTCCCTAGGGACTCCGCCAAAATGTCAGCGAAAATCCCAACCAGTGTAAGAAGATCGTCAAAGAGAACTTCATCGAAGAATGGAATGGGCGGTGGGTTGATTCCCACAAGGTCGCAACATTGAGAATGTTCTTCCCGACCGTCCACTCGAGAATAAAAGCTAAATGGGTCCTCCCAGACAACCGCATCTCCCAGATCATGACAGGATGCGGAGGATTTCGGAGAAAACTACACTCACATGGGAAGAACATTGATAGCCCGGTGCCCCACCTGTGAAGTTCCCTAAACGACAGAGCATGGAAGTACACCGTGCCAGGTTGTCGAGAAAGATGGATATTTTCGGCCTAGCAGAAACGAACTTCCCTCGATGGAACAACTCCATCTTCCGGTAGTTCGTCTATCCGTATAAGTGGTGTGCCCTTCGCACTTCACTCTTGGTAGGGTCCCGCCACCCGATATCGGCGAGCCGCATGAGAATGAAAAAGCACTAGAAGATGGCCGGATTCAGCGGACCAGAAGGGCTCGACGGCAACCTGGATGGATATAGGCTAGGCCAGTTGCAGAGTCAGGAGAACTGGCCATCCGATCCGGCAGAGGATAAGGCAGGTGTGCCTCCATGTCGTGACCCTATGTCCAGAAATGTACCGGAACAATATTGATTGCTTTCCAGGGCTGCGGAAATATGATCGACCTCTTGATGTACTTGTTGGACTATGGAGTGCTGCGATCGAAATTCGAGCTGATGTGAAGGAAGATTTGGAGATTCTATAAAGGGTGGAATTCGTTTCAGAAGGATCTTTTTAAAGATTTTTGAAAGGATTGAAAGTAAGCTAGTTGATCTGTGGGAAGTTAAGCTGTTGGGAGGTTTGCCTTGTTTTGGAATCGGGATATAGTGAAATGTTTCCATAAAGAGGAAAGTGGGTAATTCGTAGGATGCTATAGTATAGATGCTATAGTAGGATGCTATAGTGATTCGTAGGATGCTATAGTATAGTATAGGATGCTATAGTATATAGTAGGATGCTATAGTAGATAACAGTCAATCCTCAGAAGGATTGACTGTTTTGGGCGGTAAGGATAGTGGGATTCGTGAATTAAGGAATTCATCGACTACTATGATATGGGTGGGGTTGGATTTCGGATGAGAGGTGAATATGAAAGAAAGGTGTTTGGAAAATTCCTGGCTTTACGGAGAGAATGTGAAATATTATGGAGTTTTTTGATGATCTTCGACAAGAAATTGTCATGAGAAGAGAGGGAAATAAGATTGGAGTTGAACGATTAGGATCTTAATCTGACTAATTCCTACTTTAATTTTTTACAGAATGCAGGTCTAAGTGTTGAGGTAAACTGTTTTTCTTAGTTCTTGAAGAGTGGTTTTAAGAGGAAGCAGTTCAGATTGCTTGTTGAATAGTGGTGGTAAAGGAATGTACGGCATTGTCAAGGTCTTCTAGGGTTTTCAGGGTTATTCTGAGGTCAATATTGTTGGAAAGGATTTGATGAAAGTTTCCAGTTGACTGGACCTCTGATGAAGGACAGTGGGGAGGGCTTGGGTATAGGAGCTAGTGATAGTTGGAGTATTAATGGACTATAATCTGAGGAAAGTTCATTAAGATGGGTTAGGGAATGATTGAGGGAACCCAAGCCACTGTGGATGCAAAAATCAAGGATAGCAGGATTGTGGTTAGTATCATTGGGCCAGTAGGTGGGTGAGTTGGGAGGAAAGAGTCTGAAATGTTGGGAATTGAGTGCCAATAACAATGTTCTAGCAAGAGAATTTGTATTTATAGAACCCCATTGCTGATGTTTGGTGAAGTTAGCATCCAGGATGAAGTGATGTCCTAAGGAGTTGAGAAGATAACTGAACTGGACATTGGATATGGATCTGTTAGGAGGGTAATGTACTGATGATAGGAAATCTTTAGTAGGTAGTGGGAGTAGTTGGTGAGAGAGGGATTGGTTTGCAATCAGCAGTATCGGCATGAGCTCTTCCGCCAGGATGGCCAGTTCAGTATGTTCTGTATTCAGGTATTTTTAACTGGTCAGTCGAGTTTACGTTATTAGTGCTACATCGACGTTCTTGTTCAGTAATAAAGCTGTTAGTTCGTCTACGTGATTTCTAACACGCATTCCGAATGGATATGGATATGGGTTTCATCATGTAAGTCATTTAAGGATTTTTAAAGGAAGGAGGAAGTGAGATACAAGATTCGTGAGGAGTGATATGATTGGGTTTAAAACGAATTTGAAATCAGTGAGGAAAGATGCTAGAACAAGTTAGAGGAGGAGATTGGGAGATACCGGATTTGAGGAGGTAGGATTTGAGGAGTGAGGGGGATCCGATCAAGATGGCTTTTGTCTTCTCGGCGTTCAGAGTGAGCCTATTGAGGTTTGCCCAAGCACTTATTCTGTCAATGTCTTCCTGAAGTTTTAGAGTGGCATCTGAGAAATCTGTCGGATTAAAGGAGAGGTAAATTTGAATGTCGTCGGCATACAGGTTGTATTGACAGTGCAGGATAGAGGATGGGAGGTCATTTATATAGATGGAGAAAAGGGTGGGAGATAAGGAAGAGCCTTGTGGGACGCCTCTGGTCAGAGGTAGAGATTCTGATGGAGGGTTATTAGGAATTAAAACATACTGGGAGTGACCGGTAAGGAAGAATTGGAACCAATTAAGGGAACTAGAAGAAAAAGAGATATGTTTAAGTTTGGTTAGGAGGATGTTGTGGTCTACTAAATCAAAAGCTTTGCAGAAGTCTAGGAGAATAAGGGTAGTTAGTTTCTGCTGATCTATGGCTGTATGAAGGTCTTGGGTAATTTTGATTAGGGCAGACTGAGTAGAATAACCAGGCCTGAAGCCGGACTGGTAGGGATTTAGGAGATTATTGTCCTCTAAAAAATGGGATAACTGGGATTGGACTAATCGCTCTAAAGGTTTGGAGAGGTTTGAAAGGAGGGAAATCGTTCGGAAGTCATTAAGAGATGATGGGTTTGAGGTCTTCTTCAAGGGGCGTACTAGGGCGGTTTTCCAGGATGTAGGGAAGGTAGCATTTTGAAGAGAATAATTATGATAAGGGATCGGAAGAATGGATGGCAATGCGGCTTTAATTAATATGATTGGGATGTTATCGGGACCGTAATCATTGGTATGGGACTTCTGAATGGATTTAAGATCATCTGGTGTAATATGGGAAAGAAAGAAGTGATCAGGATTAAAGGAAGAGAAGCCGGTCTGGACGTAGGTGATGTGGTTGCAAGAGGGCAGGAGACAAAGTGAGCGTTGAGGTTATCAGCAGAAACGGAATTGGACTGAGACTGGGGTGCATTACCAATGGTCTGTGTTCTAAGAATAGTCTATGATAAGACTGTTTGCGAAGGCTATGAATACCAGTAGTATATTTGTTTCTCGGTATAAATATTAGTTACCCAGCCTGTAACTATATTCAATATTCAATGAAAGTATTTTTCATTTTATCCAAATTTTTGGTCTGTGTAATTTTTTTTTGGTTTAAAAGCGACAATAAATTATAAATATAATACTTATAAAGGTGAGAAATGGTTCATATAAATATTTTTGTGGAGAAAAAAAAATTAAATAAACAATAATTTCATTATTTAATTAGAATATGAAGTGGAAATAAAAAAAATTGTTTATGTAAATATAACAATTAAATATAGATAGCAAGTACTTATATTCAGTTTTTAGTATTTTACTCACCAAATGTCTGTGATACTTTATCGTTTCTCATGTTATAAATATTCATCTTCTCCTGTTTTCTCATTTCAACGAGCACCTTTGTGTAATCATTTCTCTCAAAGTCGATATTTTCTCTTTGGTCAAGTATAGTGTTCATGAGGGATCTGAAGTAGTCGTCTAAATCTCTCGGCATGAATTTCAGATTTAAAACATTAGATAATTTTGGAAAATAAGTTAAGAATATTAATTGAAGAATTCTGGTAGCTTTAGGTTCAAAAATCCTTTTGCAGTTTATCATCAACTCCTCTTCACCAGTGGGGAGGATGTTAATTCCAAACATGGCCGTCATGAATATCTTAACGGCTAATTCATTGATGATTTCAACATTCAAACACTTCGGTTTGCCTTTCACAAACGATTGGCATGGTGCTAATATTTGTGGAAATATGACTCTCATTTTACCTGTCGTAAACGTGGTCAATAACCTGTTTCTGAAAATCAAAGAGGTATTTGTTAAATTTTATACGATGACTAGAATTTTTTCTAACTATTTTTATTTATTCTAACATTTCGGAACGACTTTTCCACTTTCCAAAACCTTCATATGGGCATAGTTATATTCTTAATGTTTATTTCACGTATTTGTGTACATTTGATAACTATGATTAACCTTATTGCGTAATGATTTCCATTAAATCAGTGTTCATGCATTACACTGTAATGTGTCGGTAAAAGAAAATCGCCAAATCATGTTATTATATATATATATATATATATATATATATATATATATATATATATATATATATATATATATCCTATAGAGATTAGGTGAACAAAGACTAATACTACATATAGAGGATTACCAAAGAAAACTTAAATTTTGTAATTTTTAAGCCAACCACGTTTTATGTTAAATAAAAAGTAATAAGCAAAAAATATTTAATTTAGGTTACAACCAATTACTTAAAAGTAAACTAGATTAATGGTATTAGAAATGGTTGAAGAATCCCCTTTCTTTACTCCAAAAACGTTCCAAGTGCTTCAGAATGACGTAGAAGTAATAAAGTCAGTAATAGAGTAAAAAAATATAAAAAATTTCCAACTATTGTATACCAACACAACTAAACAAAATCTGCTTTGACAGTTATTCTTGCATAAACAGGACCAACGGTACAAAAATAACACCAGATACTTCAGAAACTTAACGATAAATTGTGGAGTACCTGTCAGAAACGAATGCAAATTTCCATACGTAACAGCTGAAACAGGAGAGATCGTTACGAGTGGTGATAAGAAATTTGCACTCCTCCACCCCAACTGAAGAGATAAAAGAAGAACTAACGTCGCTTGGTTTCAAATTAAGTCAGGTAACCAAGGTTCTAAAGGGAAATAAGGAGCAGGCAGGAGTAAAAACTAAAGTTCCACTACCTTTATTTTTCGTGGACCTAGAGCCATCACCTGGTATTGAGAAAATATACGAAATCTAGAGATTGTACTACGTGAAGATAGAGAAGCCTTACCCCAAGAGGGAAATCGTTCACTGCCACAATTGCCAGGCTTATGGCCGCACGAAGACTTATTGACACCACTTGCCGCGTTGCGTGAAATGTGGTGAACAACACAAATCAGCAGAGTGCACCAAACCGATACAAGAATTTGTGTCCTATGACTAGAGGCACACCCGACCAACAACAAATGCTGCCAAACTTATAAGAACCTCAAATCCAAATATCAGAAGACCCGCTTTTATTAAATGATGCTTTTAGTGTACCACAAGGAATCTTTAGCTACAACTTCCGTCGGTAATCTTTTTTTTAGATTCTAGCGTCAAGGAACATCAGGATAGTTAAACTTCAATTTTTCAATATCTATAAAATATTTAGTCTAAATACACCGTCGTGTAAATAATTTTCTTGAAGGAATACGTTTTATTGCTCATTAAAAATGGTTATTACGTGATCTTATATAAGCAAAACTTTCACAAGTAAACTTTCGTCCCTACTGTGCTCTCCTCTCAATTATTCATACCTGATAGCTCTCCATCTGATGCCTGACATTGCAAACACGCTTTCAAAAAGTATACTCTTTGGCTCCATCAAAAATGGACCATGGTCTGGATAAGTAGAAAAATCTTTTACTAAAACTTGTTCGATCAATTCAGTATCCCTTAGCACCAAAGACGGCGTCATAAACTCGTACATACCAACCATTCTTTCTCCTGGAAATGCGTTGTAAATCTGAAATAGTTACAAGATTAAATGAGAAATTAAAAGAAGAAAGTTCGCATAATTAAAAATTGAAATTTCATTCTTGACAATTAGAAAAACATTAGGACAGCTCTCAACCTTACATAATCCAAATGTATTTTTTAATTCTTTCGGTAGTTAACAATGGTGTATAACATAAATATTTTGAGAAGTCCCAAGTCAAACAGCTCTCATACCTTTCTTGAATTAAAATATTTTTTTCCCTGATAAACCCATGACGAACCCAGGTTTTTTTTTTGTTTGTGGAAAACTGACATCAAAGAGGGTAATTGTTATCTGATTATCAATGTTGGCTAGAAATATATAAACATTTAAATATCATAACAATGTTTATACCAGACTATATTCTAAAACTAAGGTCCGGCGACCAATATTTAAGTGATGGTAGGCCTAAATTAGGTTTCATACATGCAGCCCTGTCTAATGAATCTTAAGCTAAACGGCTGTAGTGTTGGTTTGATTCAGTGTTGGTTGAATCGCTTACAGTTTCTGAGGACAGATAGCAATAGCCGAGACAATCGTAGCTCCGTCAGTTGTGAAGTGGGCGGTCTTATTATATTTTTGATGGCGAAAGGATCTTCAGCTGCTGAAATCTATCATGTGTTATGACTATTGTATGGACCTGAAATAATGACTGATAAACAAGTTAGAAAATGGTGTCGAGAAATTCGAAATATACACAAATGTCGTTGATGAATCGTGGTGTGTCTAATCGCAGCAAAAAATTAATCATATCGCCTACACATCTCTGGCAGATTTAATGGAAGAGCTTTTGGGCCGAAGCCATGAATTGAAAACAATTTTTTCATTGTTCCATATTTTTTACTGTGAGTGATGCAAGTTAAACAATCACAATATGTCCTTTATTGAAATTATTACTCCAGTAACCTCGTCATGAAAAGGGTGTTCTAATTTGAATTAAATTGGTGTAGAAGGTTTCTTTTTTTTTCTTGTATGCGGTGTGACTGAGATGCAAAGTCCAAGTTTCGACCTCGGCTCCCACCGGCTCACTTTTTAATATCCCAAAAACAACTATATCGTCGGTTTTCCCCATTTCGACCACGAAGAAACACATTTTCGATAAAAACGTTTCTATATATGTTTAAACTACTATTTAGAACAGAACAGGATCGGTAAATTTTATACTTTTTGAGATACAAGCTTTCAAAGATTGAAAATTTTTCCGAACTTGTTAATTTTAAACCATTTTTCATGTTTGACATAAGCAATTTTCTTGATATCTTCAATAACCTGTCTGACATGAGTCAGTAAGCTAAATTTTTATTCATTTTAACATTTTGAAGGGGTGAGATGGGGAGGAAAGCTTGGTGAGAGAGTGGTAGATGGATATCACTGTCACAACGAAACGACTGAAATTGAAATACAAAATTTATTTTACAAACATTTAAATTAAGTATGTATAAAATGACTAAATGAAGTAAATGAAATTTTCGAAACTTGAAAATGTTGCGCTAATGTTCATGTTCATGTCTTCCGTAACCTGTCTTATAAGAGTTTGTAAAGTAAACATTGATTCAATTTAATATTTTAAAGGCGCAGGATTAATGGATACGATAAATAATGAGATATCTGATTTTCTGGTTATAGCTATAGCAGTTATGGACTTCTGGTCATCTTCATCGGTTACAGAGATATCGCACGAGGTATCCTTTTAGAAGTGTGTAAGAGGCAAAACCTCAAATATCTTCTACTCAAAGATTCAACATCTTCAGACAGCTCACCTTCTCTAAAATGTCTTCAAATATTAATGAAACATGATGATCTTAAAAAAAAAAAAAAAAAACTGCAGTTTTTTCTCTAATCAAGCTTCTTCAACCTGCCTAAGTAGTTGAAGTCAGTGAGATATCACTGAATTGTACGTTGAAGAAAGATCAAGCCAAACTCTCGAAGAAATGCGCTACCAGCTCTTCACAAATGGTACACCAAACTGCAGCCAAGACTAGTTTCATCCTAGCCGGACTTTTTCCCACACGAGATACCGCATAGCTATATTCGTTTCACACATACCACCAGTGCAACGATGTCTAGGTTATAAAAAGAATCCACTCGATCAGGGATGGGTTGCTACGGCCCGAGGATTTCTAAAGATGGTGTCGAAGTAGTCTCCTCAAATATGCTGAACATGATTTTTTGCAGTTGCAAGAAGGGATGCTAGCAGTTGCAGGAAAGCAGGATTGAAATGTTCAGTTATCTGTAGAAGCTGTAATGACCAATCCTGCTAAAACCTTCCTAAAATTACGATAGACGTCGATGTCAACTCCTAAGATTTGTATGAACTCAAAGAGGATGACGAAATATGTTGTAGCTTCTTCACTAGGTTTCGCCTTGGGATATTCAACAAATAAATATTTACATTCCATTTCGAGAAATCCAGGACAATCAATATGACACAGAAGGAGGCGGATTGGCGGATTGGCGGATTTGTTTGGTCCTGGTCCTCCGAATCGAAGGAAACACTTTTAATTCAAATTTCATTTTTTCTTTTTACACACACACTTAATGCAAATTTTTGGAAATAACTTTTGTATTTCAATTTCATTCATCTGGTTGTGAACAGTGATCTCCCAACAAGGTAATCTGTAGAAAAAATAAAATCTAATGAAAAATAGTTGAGGTTTTGGACTACTGTACGTCGCTTCAATATCCTCCCAACCTTTAAATCTCGTCTATTCCATCAGTTCCCAAACAAATTGTAATTACTAGTTTCTTTTCAATTTTTTTAATTTTATTTTACATTTATTCCTTCTTTTTTTTTTAAATTTATTATTTTAGAAGCTAAATTATAATTTATATTTGTATATTCCGTTTATCTTTTCTATTTATGCCTGATGCTTTAAAGCTCTCAATTCTGTTATTGTCTTTTCTTGTAAAGGTTTCTGTCCTAGAATAAATAAAAATTATTATTATTTATCTGCTTCGCATTCTCAGATTTCTGAAATCGCATCCAAATCTCGGTAAAACAAAAAAAAAAAAAAAACTCAAGGGAATGTAGATGAACGATTTTACTTATTTAAAAACTTCCTTACAATCCTGTACGTCGAGCAGGACTGTTTTTTGTGCACTGTCAAGTCACTAATCTTAAGTACCCACTATTGTGCTTTTCAATATTTGACCATTTGAAGATACGATTATTGGAGTTATTTTTTACCTTTTCTAAATGGTTTAGTGTTGTTTACTATTACTCCAAGGTAAGTTCTCAATATTTTCAGATTTTTTCGGCCCTGGTTTACGACCAAGATATTTGGATGGTATGCCTTGAAAATTTTTTTCATCCTAATAAAATTTTACATTTCTGTTTTCTTTAACTATGACGATAGTGGGATCCCTCACCATTGTCCAGAAATCCGAATGTTCTGCATATACTTAGGTGGTTTGTTTTTGCAACATTATAATGCCTCATCTTGTATTCATCCCCAGCCATTGGTTTCATGCTATTATTATTTTTTATTCATTGACCAATATACCAAGAGAATTATTACCGCGAGAAAACTAATATATATAATATATAACTTAATATAAACATTTCTACGTACCTCATCGTAATAATAAGCGAGGTGATATTCTAATTTCAAAACTCTTGCCATATTCCCAACTATTGGCCATGGTTTAAAGTGTTTGACTCCTCTAATCTTCCAGTAGTTCATTGCCCAGTAGATGTTCAAGCAGAGATACAATAGACCCCAAAGAGCTGTAAATGCCACGAACTCCGAAGTCAGCAACATCCTATCAATGATTAATTTTTAATTTGTTAATTTAGTTAGGAATAAATAAAAAGAATATAAGAAATTCTTATGGTTCATTACCTGGAAACTAATAAGGATATTATGATGGTTGTGTAACCAAACGAATCAGATTTAATCAAATCTTGAATGAATTCCCACGATTTGAAAAACATGCTGGTTATACTTTCCGACATCATTCACCAGAAGTAGTAGATATCGAAACAAAATCCCACGCTACGTGTTATCAGCTTAATACCAGTTGTTTCAATTGAAAAATATATATACCTAGCCTATCTATCGATTTTCTAATCAATTATCTGACCAACCTCAATATTTCAGGAAAAACAAATACTAAAAACATTTTTATAAGAAGTAGTAATTCTATTTTTCCAGTTTGTAATAATCGCGGGACGAATTGAGTTCTATTATTTTAATCTAAGACATCTTAATTTTAAGAAAAATAGAAAGAGAAATAAAGGAATGGAAATATATGCTAAAATATTGGGGACGCACAGAATATTTTAATCCCTGGGTAATGCCCTGATGACTTTGAGTGACGGAAAATAAGTCGGTGGCTAATGGCTTAGAGAGAAGAAAAAAATGTATAGTAAAACTAATAAAATAAAACTATATAAAATGATGTTTAAGTAGTCCTTAAAGGCCAGTGAAAATAATGTTTAAGGATGTTTTAGAGTACTTTTTGTGATTATTATAAGTGTTAAGCTCAAAGTAGTATCATAGGAGTAGCAAATGGGGATAAATGAAAAAAAAAATTACTTACTATTTTAAGGGGTAGTGTGAATTATTTAGCCCGAAAGTCTCTTCTCCACCTTCCCATATTAGATAGTTATTAGTTATAGATACCCATCACATATACGTACGGAATGCGACGGTCTGGGATAACATTAAGCTTTTATGGCGGTCAGAGAAAATCGGTTGAAAAGGTTGAAACACTGAAGGATGAAGAGACCCAGCAGGAGGTGACAATCGCTTATCACCAGGGTAAGACGACTCATCGAGGAATACAAGAGACATTGCAGGCACTAAAACGGAAGTATTTTTGGTGGGGGATGGGACAAACAATCAAAGGGGTCATTGGGGCTTGTGAAATATGCTTAACCACCAAATACGATAGGCACCCTCCCAGAGCAATACAGGAAGAGACGCCCACAGCAGACTCACCATTAACAGAGAGGATATAAATGGGTCACGCTGATAGATCTTTTTAGTAAGACAGCAATGGCGTACCTGATCCAGGAGTGGTCGTCAGAAGCAGTCGTGGAGGCTCTAAGAACATGGTTCCAATTTTATGACGTACCTGACCGCATAGCATCAGATGGCGGTAAGGAATTTAACACTGCCATTATGCGAGCAGAGACGAAGATCTTGGATATCACATGGCATATTAACACCCCAGGACACCCAAACAGTAGAGGAGGCTTGGAACGACTACACAGCACGCCTTCGAATATATCAATATAGGAGAAAAAGGACTAGAACCGGGTGTGGCGATGTCGAAGGCTATCACGGCATATTCAATTCATACTCCAACAAGTTTTTCATCTTTTGAGATCCTCTATGGGTTACGGGAACGGTGCAGGGATAGCACGAGTACGACAGTGGACGTGGAATTATCGGAATGTGTTGTTAATAACAGAATAGCGTTGGTGAAACGATGGGAGAAGGGTCCGGAGTAAAATTGAGAACGAAAAAAGTAGGAGGGTATGAAAAGATAATTTAGAGGTCAAGGACGTACTGGGTGATATTAAAATTGGAACGATAGTGTACAGGAGAAGAGGGGTCCGTATGGGCAAGGAGCTAGTGAGGTACGAGGGCCTATTCATGATGAATACCATTTGTGAACATAACATTGTGTCTATAGAGAGCTTGAAAGAGCCTAAGAAGCGCAGGACAGTCCACATCGAACATCTAAAGCTCCCAAGGTCAAGGAGCGCCATAGCAACCATAAATGGCTGGAATGTCCTCTTTGTACCCACTCTGGTTTTGATCATACAGCTTGTCCTTTCTATAGTCATTTTGGTCAATCTCATTAGTTTACTAGGAATCCCCAGCAGTGTTACCGCGCGCTCTGTGACAAAACCTCGTACTCAAGCCTCGTACATACTCGTACGCTTGTTCATTCATAACTTGTACTATTATAAGCCCAGTGTTATTGTTTTGTTTTTTTATAGTAAAATTAGATCAGAATTTTTTATTTTTACCTCCATTCATATATTTTAAAGCCTTTTTACATTACTTTTTTTTAAGTTAATGGGTCAAGAAGTAAAATTAGCTTAATAAAATACATAAAAAAGTTTATATGTTCTTATAAACTGCTGAAAACCTTATATAAAAATTAAAATAGCTAAATAAACTTCTTAAAGCACTAGCGGATCCAGGATTTCATTTTGGGGGGAGCTTCAGCCCGGATGATTTTTTTTTCATATACATATAACGATAATAAATTTGAAAAAAAATAAAGAAATTAATTACCTATATGAAATGGTGTTTAAGTGGTTCTTGAAGTCCTATTAAATATAATTACACGAACAAGAATACTTTAAGAGATAGTTTTTAATATTTTTTTCTGTAAAACATGGTTATATTTTACCATTTTGGGGGGAGCTTCAGACCGAAAGCCCCCTCCCCCCTTAGATCCGCCTGTGTCTTAAAGTACTCTTCATAAGTATTCATTAGTAGATCCTAGATTTAATTTGGGGGAAGGACTAATTATTTTTCTTTTTTCTAAAAACAAAACAACTAAATTTATGAAAGGATATTAGTGCATCTGCAAGGCCAATAAAAATTAATTATTGGGGCATTAATGCTTTCAGAGATATCCATTATAATATAAAAAAATAATAGATTGTGATTGTTTCAGTATTTAGCTTACAATTAGATCTCGCACAAAATAAATGTGGACCACTGAAAAAATACTTTTTTTTTCATTATTTAAGATGGGTCCATTATGAATATTAGTTAATTTTTCAATTAATTACTTTACTCGATTAAAAATCGATTTTTTTTTTAAATTACGGTAATAATTTTTAAATAAAAATAATTTATCTAGAATATATTTACAATTTTATGAAGGAAATAATAATTACGAAGGAAATAATGGATATACTTTCTCTTATTTTATTTTATGCTCGATAAAAATGACTGTTTAATTTTCTTTTACAACACATTTTAAAAAATACATATTTATAAAAAAAGTTTTATGAAGGAAATAATGGATATGGTTTCTTATATTTTATTTTATACTGAATAAAATCTGAATTATATTTTTTCAAATTTTATTTTCTAGAAAAAAAAAAACATATATATACAATCATGGTTTTATGAAGGAAATAATAATCATACTCTAATTAAAGAAGATATAATTGCAATTTATTTGTCAAGAAAGCAACAGAAGTTCAGTATGTCATATCAATATAAATAATAATACAGTCAAAATAATCGTAAAACAATTCTAAACTTCATTCATAAAAATATAACCTTGCATTGCAAACGTCAGGAAAACTTATGTACGAGGTACGAGGCTGATCTATCCTCGTACCTCGTACATTACGTCATTACCTCGTACAAATACGAGGATCCTCGTACAAATACGAGGATTCTCGTACAAATACGAGGATCCTCGTACAAACGGCAACACTGATCCCCAGTGACTGTAAGGCTTCATTGGAAGCTACTGACCTTACTCCTGTTCACACTGTCATATTCCTGCCTGAAGTCAATGAATAGGTGATACAGGTCTATATTATATTTATAGGCTTTCTCCAGCATTTGTCTGACTGAGAAAATGTGGTCAGTAGTCGATCGTCCTGGTCGAAAACCACTTTGGTACTCTCCCAACTCCTCTTCACTAGCCTTCGGCGTATTGCCAGTCTGAACTACAGTCTCTGAACTGGTAACTGACTGGTATCTTGACTATCTTTTCTCGGTGTTTAGATGTGACATGCCATACTATTATATATAGAATAAGTATCTTTTTTTTGTTATTATCTTAAATATCTTCCTATTTTTCTTTAATTGTATATAGTAATTATGTTTAAATTCTCTCTTTTTTCTTGTATTTTATTTTTTTTTTATTGTGCATAGTATTAATTCTGTAAATATTTCTTTTTGTAAATAGATCTGTTAACCTTTTTTGCTGCTTTATGAAAATATCCAACCTAAATCCTTCTCACCTGAGCTAGCATGGTAGAATAAATGATTAATCAGGGCCAAATCATGGGTAAGTAACTTATATAATCTATAATTATCTCGTTAGAGCTAATTATAACTGGCTAGGAAAGCCAGGCGCCCAACAACTAAAGATTCTGATATAAAATTATATTTATTAAAAATTGTTTTTTAATATTTTTACTTTATCCTTTTTTTTGGTCATAATATAAATATAGTTTATTACTTTTTTATATTATTTATTTTTATTTATTGTAAATGAATGTGCTCTCTAAACACTATTATAAATGTCCTTAATTCTGAAAGATTGTAATAATTCTGAATGAATAAGTTAAAAAAAAAATTACACTTGTACAGTAAATTTTTCTTTTTCTTTTTTTTTTTTATTATTTCAATGGAATTTACAACTGTATTACATAGAGAATACAATAAGTAAATGAGAAATTTGTAACATGGCATGTACAACATGAAGAGAAACTACCCATTGGTAGAACTCAAATTAAAGTTCTATATTAGAAGATCCCGAGGCCATCTTCTTTTCAGACGCCTCGGAGGGTTATCAGGGATCGAGGAGGAAGCAAGGTTTGAAACGAGAGGATTCGGATGATTCTGCAGTTTGTTATGGAAGGAAAGGTATCTGGATTGGGCCAGATCGGAAACATATGGAACATTAAGGTCTTTATGGATGATTTTATTTGTGACAAAGTAAGGAGCGTTGAGGATTTTACGAAGGATTTTGGATTGTAAGGATTGGATACGAGAGGAATTCGATGGTTTAGTGGAGCCCCAAAGCTCAATTCCGTAAGTCCAAATAGGTCTTATTATTGTCATATATACGAGTCGTTTATAATTGATTGAAAGCTTAGATCGTTTGTCTAGTAAGTGCTGCAGTAGTCGAAAACGTCGGGCGGTTTCTAGTCGTTTTCAGTCTGGTATGGGGGTTCCAAGTGAGTCGTTTGTCAAGGTGGAGTCCTAAGTAGCGGATTTGCTCAACAGGAATAAGTGGAGTATTATTGAAGGATACTGTAGGACAAGAGGTCATAGGTTTACGACGGAGGGTAAAAGTGATTT